GGCGCGCTGCCTGCGGCTCAACTTCCTTGCTTCGACCCTGAGCTCCAAAGGGCCGCGATGGCATCATAGGAGAGACCCGGGCTAGAGACAGAGCTATGGAGATGGAAATCCGCCGGCTTGAGGATGCGGGGGCACAGGCACAGGAGACCGTGGGACAGAGGGACAGGGCAGGGTACAGGACTGAGGGGTGCGGTGCTGGGGACAGAACTACAGGTCGGACACTGGAGAGGGGGGCAGGATTGGACAGACGACCAGAGCAGAGGTATGGAGGAGAGAGGGCAAGAGACCGCGGTGGGGACAGAGGATGGGGGCAACCAGTAGGGGACAGAGGGATAAGAGAATGGGGGAGAGGTTCCGAGGGCTGCAAGGGGGCGGGGAACAGCGTTGAAAAAGGGTGAGCAAGCTGACTGAGGACTGGGACGAGGACAGGGCTTTGCAGGACAAGGACCAGAAGCAGGGAATGAGAGTCTGGGGATGGTGGCCAGTGCCCAGCGAGGGCCAGAGGCTGGTGGCCTGGAGCAGCGGGTCGTACCGGGCAGAGGCAGCTGTGGTGGGTAGGAGGGGCCTTGGCAGGAAGAGCCAGCACCGGGGCGGAGGGCTGCTGATGGGCTGAGGCCGGCAGGGCCCTGGGGAGCAGGGTCTTGCCTGGGGCCAGGCAGGGCACTGGTCACTCAGGGCCTGGGGGAGAGTGAACCAAGTGATTGGGACCAGAAGGTTCTGGAGGTGTCTTCAGGTTGTGGCAGGGGACCACGAGGGCTGAGAGGAGCACCAGGGCCTCCCACACACACACCTGCACTCCATCCCACTGGACACTCCGGTGTGCCTGGAAGGCCGGCCCACACCAGCTCCCTGCACCCAGCTCCGGCCTGCTCTTTCCTGAGCCCAGGCAGCTGTGGGGTCCTGGGGGCTGGCCCTGGTGAGAGGGACTACCAGAGGCAAGAGCGCTTCAGGACTGGCGTTGCCTTCACCTTGGACGGACAGATTCCCCGTGCGCACGGCGTGCAGATGCACCCTGCCCACACGCGCGTGCACATGCTGGTCGGGATTCACACACGTAGACCCAGGAGAGTCTCATGCACGGACAGCTCCCTGCATCACACCCGCAGTCACACCACAGAATGCAGCGGACACGCATGTGCACAAGCCCGCATGCACACACGCACGCGCAGATGCACACGCTTGAAAGTAGGCACATACAAATGTCGAGGAGACCCTCCAGCTCGCACTGACGCCCTGAGAGACCTTGCGCCAACACCACGCAGACAATGCGAGCCGGTCCTTGGTGGACTGGGCCCGCAGGGCAGGAGCAGGGGAGCAGAGGAGGAGACCGCAGTTGGAGCAGAGTGGGCTTGAGCGACACTGGGCGACACATGGGAAGAGGGGCAGGATTGGGGCAGGAGGGCCCTGGGGTGCTCTGGGCTCTGAGAGCCGATTCTCCATGGTTGGATGGGGAGGGGCAATTCCTTTGCTCAGTGGGACTCTGAAGAGCCCCCACCAAGGCGCTGAGAGTCAGGTGGTGTACCCCAACTCCTAGCCTCAACTCTCCTCTCTGGGGAGGGGTCCGTGCCCTTCAGAATCACAGGCCAGGGAGTCCCTTTGGGCAGGGGACTTCGATGGAGCTCACATGCTAAGGAGAGACCAGGGCCTGGGAGAGGACCTGTCCCGGGGAGGGGCTGAAGTTGGGAGAGAGGTCTGAAGGAGAGGTAGGTGGAGGAGTCTGTTCAGGGTGCAGGGAGGCATCGCCCCAGGGGCAGAGTCTGTGCCCTATCCAGTCAGTGCAGCAGGGCCCCCACAGCCAGGCTGGGGATACCCATGCAAGCCAGACAGCCACCTGGGGCCTGGATTCGAGGGGACTTCTGGGAGCCCAGGGCCTCACCCTGGGCCGATACGGCACACGCACCAGCTAGGGAGACTATTGGAATGCAGAGAGAGGGTCTGTCCAGCAAGGTGGCAGTGCCTCTGCTGGCCCAGGACCCCCATGCTGGGGCGCCGGGAAAGGCCCTGCACCCACAGAGGTGCCCCTGCACCCTGACAGGCTCAAGGCCCTGGTGCTCTCTGAGGCCGACTGTCCTCCACTCTGAGGTGATCTCTAAGGCTCTCACATCCTGGCTGACATCCCCTGGCCACCCCGAATTCTCCAGCCTCCCCATCATGCGCTGCGTCCTCAGGGAATGTAAATCAATTTAAGTATTAGTCTCAGCGAAATGGAATGGGGGAAGGTGCCGGTGCTGGAGAGAAAAAGAAATCGCATAATGCCTCCACAGTCGAACAGGAACGGCTTAGGCATTATCTGTGCTTCTCAGAGCAGGAGGCGGCCGTTTGATCCCCCCAGAGCAGCGCGTGCAGGTAGGCCCGGGAGGGATGCCTGTGGGACGTCTTTCAGGTGAGGAAACTGAGGCTTAGGTGAAGTGTTTCCCTTCGCTGAAGTTCCCTAAGAGACCATCGAGTCCAGTCCCCCATTTCCCAAGTGGGGAGACAGGCCCAAAGGGCTGCAGGAGGGTCTGAATGTCCCTGGGACGCGGGCCTAACCTGGCAAGCCTAATGCCAGCCCCCGTCGAAACTCCTGCGTGTTTGGGCTTCCCTCAAGGGACATTCCCAACCCATGGATGGACGGGGGCATGAGGTGAGAAGTCGGAGATGGGGACGAGGGAGAGGAGAGGAGGGGAGGGACAGAGGAGGTCGGGTAGGAACGGGAGCGGACAGCCCCGGAATGCTGTAACCCTCCCCAGATCCGATAGAATCGACTTTTGACTTATCTGGGATTAGCGGAGACCCCTGGCTGGCAGATAGAGTCAGTGCAGAAGTGGCGGGGCTCCCTGGGGAGGAGAGGGCCGGAGAGTGGGGTCTGCGGGCCTCAAGGCAGGTGTTCTGGGGGAGGGTTCTCAGGAATGGGCATTCGTTCGGGTGGCTGAGGGCAGGTCTGAGCTGTGGCCGGGCCATGTCAGCAGAAGGGTCCTCTGGCCCTAAGACCTGTGTCCCGGATGCACATGGGATGGAATGGGGACCCCGCTGACTTGCCCTGCCCACTGTCTCCCCAAACTCGGCCCTGCTGGTCTGGGGGAAACTGCAGTGCGGCCCCCTCCCCCTCCCACCAGCCAGCAGGAGGAGAGAGCTGCCTGACCCAGTTTTCTCTCATTGCCTGAGAGGGAGGGAGGGAGGCAGCAAGCCTCTTCTTTCTGCCTGTGCCCCTGGCGTGGGGCTGGCTCTGGGAGGGGGAGATCCCTCTGCGGACATCTGATCCATCCCCTGGTCCCACAGGCCCCTGGGAACCCAGTGAGGAGCACAGAGACCCCCCACCCCGGGTCTGCCAGTCCCTCTCCAGCCAGCGTCTAGGGTTCCTGATAGCGGGGTGGGGGTGAGAGGAAGAAGAAATCAGGAAATAAGAGCATCCTCTCTCCAGCTTTTCCTGAGGACACTTGTCTCCATCTTCCAGGGGCACCCTCAGAGCTATGCAAATCTCAGGCAGGAGGAAAGTTCCAGGAGAGCCCAGTTTAACCCTCTGTGACCTGCCCAGGCTCACAGACTGGGGTAGCTGGGAGGGGGAGTTCGTGGAAAAGAGTGAAATGGAAAGCCGAGACTTTGGAGCCAAAAGGCCCCGCACATCTGTCACCAACTATGTCAAAAGGGAGCAGGGGCCCAGAGAGGGGAGGAGTGTACCAGAGGTGACCACAGCTGGGCACAGAGCTGGCACTGGAGCCCTGATTTCTAAACAGCTTAGTGCACCTGTCACCGCAGGCAGTGGGTGGGCGACAGCCTGGGGAGAGGGCTAAGGCTTACACCAGCTGTGCTCCACGCACGGCTCCAGGCTTCAGGAGGGCTTGCTAACCCTCATCCAGCCCTCGGGGATTATTAGCCCATTTTACGGACAAGGAAACTGAGGGTCACAGAAGCGAAGGGACTAGCTGGTAGGTAGCCATGTAGAGATAGGAGCCCAGGGGTGTCACATCCTGAGGGAGGCTTGATGACACTGTGCAGGGACCCTTTGCACAGGGCCTGCCTATCGGACCAGCCGTCCTTCCCCGCTGTGGAACTGCTCCTAGGTGCTGCCTCCAGGCACGGGGGTCAGGTGTGTGGTGGCTGCAGCAGGTGCCCTGGCTGCCAGCCCTGCCCTGCACCTGCGGGGCTCCAGGCCAGTCACTGTCCTCGAGGCTCAGCTCTCTGCATACAATGATTATAGTGGTGTCGGATACAGGTGAGGCATCTGAAGTTGCACTTACAGAGCTCAGCACACAGTAGGTGCTTGCTAAGAGGAGCGCCTACTGCCCGAAGCCCCTCCACACCAGTGTCCAGTGTCAGGCACACCCTGGGGACACTGAAGGGTATAGTGCAGGGCGTGGTTCGATGCCACAGTGTAAACATCTGCATGCCATCACGTCATATCAGCAACACACAGAGCCCTGTGAGGCAGGAGCCGCTGCCACCACCCAGAAGAGAAGCCGAGGTCCAGGGAGGTGAAAGGACGTGCCTGGGAACACATAGCTCCGAGGTGGCACCTGGGACTCTGGTCCAGGCCTGGAAGAGCAGGGGAAGCCAGAAAGGGTGTTCTGGCCAGAGGCCCGAGCGAGCAGACGCAGAGCCGGGTTGGGGGTGCTCAGAGGGCCAGTGTGACTGGGCCGCCTGCTCCCTGGGGCTGGGGAGGCGTCACAGCTGATGCTCTCTTCTCTCCTCTTTTGCAGTGAACTTGCTCGACACATCGACCATCCATGGGGACTGGGGCTGGCTCACGTATCCGGCTCACGGGGTGAGTGATGGGCAGCGGGGCCGTGCCATCCCTGCTAGCAGAGGGGTGGCCGCAGAATCTTAGCATCAGGCAGATCAAAAGGAAGCAGAGGCCTGGAGAGGTAGAGGGACTTTCCCAAGGACACTCAGTGGTTAGAGGCAGGCCTGCTGATTTCGTGATGGTTTAGTGCACGTAGACCCTGGGGGTGACAGAACCACCCTGGCGCTGGGCTCCTCAAAGCCCTGGATTTGGGGTCCTCCGGTCTGTGCCCTGGGCCTACAGACTGATGACATGCCAGGGCCAGATCCAGGATGGCCGGATCGTGGTGGTGGTCAGGACTGCTCAGGGCCTGGAGCCCCACAGTGGCAGAGCTCCTAGACCCTGCTGGTCTCCGCAGTGACACTGGGCTCAGCCTTCCAGGTGCCTGTGGGTCAGTGCTCACAGGCAGGCCCCACGCCCAGGAGCAGCTCCAGTGACAAGCCTGCACTGCCCAGTCCCCTGCTCGTCCGCCCCTGCAGGTGTGCGTGGTAGAGTGAAAGAGAGCCTGCATCCCTGTGGGATCCTGCCCCACCATTAGCCATCGGGGTGGCTCGTGTCACCAGTGCCCTGCCCTGAGTCTAGAAAGGGCTGAGCCTATGATGACCTTTCTGTTCACTGCGAGGGCGGGAGGTGACATGCAGTCTGGCACCACGCCTGGCATGCGGCGTGCCCTCAGTAATGTCGGCTCTTTTGCTGTCGTGAGCTCCAGTACCAGTGGGCAGGACGGTTGTGATCTCACGTAGATTCCCTCCCGCCCACACGCTCAGAAACGCACACACCTCCCTGCCACGCATGAGACCACGTGGGAGGCTGCGTGGTGCACTGCTGCTTCCTACACAAGCCCTCCAGCTTCTGGGCTCTGGGGGTGGGTGGGCGAAAGTAGTGACGATGACGATGATGACAGTGACACCGGGAGCTGGCTAGGCGTCACGACAGGAGTCTTCCTTGACTGGGGAAAGGTTCTCATCTGACCTTTGGGGCCAGGGGCCGGAGGTCAGGACAGCCCTGCTGCTCTCTCTGGGCATCTTGCTGCCAGGCAATAGGGAGCCGAGCTGCCATCCTGAGCCCCCGTGTGCCAGGCTCCCGGGAGCTGGAGGGGCAGCCACATGGGCCCTGGCCGTCCAGGCCTCATCTCGTGGCCCAGCACTGCAGCCGATCAGCTGAGTCCTGCCTGGGAACAGGCCGGTTCCCAGGGCGTTCCTGTACCCCCAGGCCTGAGTCTCCTCCTCTGTGAAATGCTCCTTGGTGTGGCTGTCCCAGGGGTGAGTGTGGCTGTGGAAGGACTTGGTGAAGTCGGCTGGCTCAGCCGCCGGCAGGAGCAGGCCTGGGGGGGGGTGGGTGCAGGTTTC